TATATAACTATATATATAAAAGATAAAATGTACAGTTTAATAATGTGCAAAAAATCTGTAGGCGGATTCATCTCCACCAGAGATGACCCAATGAGGAAGGTGTGCAAACTTCAAGATGTGGAAGAACTTTACTTCTGGTGGTGGAAAACTACATTTACTCAAGTATAACTTTGAGTTACTTGTTCTTAAATTCAGTATTTCCATTTTCTGCTTTTTTCTACTTCTACTACATTTACTTTAAAACTCTCCAGGTTTTATTTTAATGCTAGAAAATATAACCAACAAATAAACTCACAAGCTACATAACAATAAGTACAGTAATGAAAAACTAATTCACATTAAAGTGATTAATACATCAATAATTATAATCCAATAATATATATGATTGTGACATGAGTCATTACTATAACACATTATTTCTACACTGGGGTGTTTCTACTTTTACCTAAAGAGTTAATTATTAAGTGATGTGTGAAGCAGTCGGTGTATAACCGGCTGTGTAGGGACGTCCCCCAGTAATATGCATCTAGGAAATATGTTAAATATGTCCTTTTATTAGTGCTGTTTTTTCGCACTGTGTGGCTAAAAGTTGAAGATTGATTGACGGGTGAATGTCAGGATTGGTTGAAATCAGTTAGTTCATGCTTATGGAAGAAAATGATTGGATTTTGCTATAAAAATACAAAGAAATTGAGTTTGAGACTCCACCGACATGATGATTTTTCAAACTGTTAGGCGTGTTTAAAGTCAGTTTTACTGCTTTCTCTCGCCATCCGACAGCCTTTTCTGATGGGAGACTGAAGCCGAAACACCTCCCTGTGCATAACAATACAGTTCAACAGCAACACAAACTATAACATGTTCAATAATCGCACATGTCCACTAACTTTTGGCCGTATATTTTTCCCTACCTACCAAAATCAGCCTCTAAGTGGTGATAATGAATCTGAATCATCAGTTTACAGACAGAAGGGTTAAACTTAAAGTATGAAAATCAATGTTCGCTGTCAGTGTTTCACTTTTATATCTGATGTTTCTGGATTAATATTATTGCTGCATTAATGTGTAGATGTTAAAAGTTGAGCTCATTTTAACTACTTTATATATTGTTGGTTAGTTTAATCAACAGCGAAGCGTCATATTCTATAAGATTATCACATGTAACCCTAACTCATGTTTATTATGAAATGGGACATTCTGCATATAAGTACTTTTAAATTTTTGGTATTTTATACTCTTTTAGTTTTGTAAACTAAAAGTACTTTGTACTTTTACTTGTAACTGAATATTTCTACAATATCAATACTACTTCCTCCACTGGAAACACTTTTATTACAGAATACGTTCTTCTGTGAACACAAACTTTGACTACAGTATTCATGTTTTTTTAATTAAAGGGGAACTGAGTCCTCTGATGTCAGATGTCTGTCAGCACTGTGTCAAATGTTTTTAATCTAAATCAATTGTGCAACATAACTGTGGAGTTAATGTTTAATACAGTGCAGCTCTGCTCTGTCGATGATGTAACTTCAATGTAACTTCAGTGTTATTCATCCAATCTGCGCCAGATCCTAAATTCAACAGGAAGTTTGCCACTTAAAACTGGAGTGAAATTGCTTATATGTGTACCCATATTGACTCTAGTATGCTAGACTTGAACTAACCATGTACAGTGCGAGTCATTATCTTTGTATATATTGAGAGTTTGTGTTTTTTAGTTCAGTTTGAAGGCTGACTGCAGCAATTTCAATATAAAGCATATATGATATCACCAGATAGTGTGGAAAATTAAGATTTTTCCTGTGTGTTTAAAGCTTTTGTTCAGCTCTGCTGTTTTCCTTTTCTATTTTCACTTCCTCATCTCTCAGCAGCCTTTCTACGAACATATTTAATACTCTGAAGTAAACATGCAGAACTTCCTTCATTTCAACTTCAGAGTAAGAGGCAAAGAAGATTTCCTCATGCTCAGAACTGAATCAGAGTTCTTAGACGTTGTTCCTCCAACTGTGAATTCTTGTTAATCTATGCCCGTCCAAATTTCCCTTTTTATTTTAAACATGTTTGTCTGACAGTCCTCAGGAAGTACTCAGATCTTCAAGCACAATGAAAGAAGTCCTGCATTAAAAATCCAACTTGAGTAAAAGTACACCAGCAAATTGTACTTAAAGTATCAAAAATAAAAGTACTCGTGCAACATTAACTGCTTCAAAGTGTTAAAATGTGATGCAGACGAGGTCCAAAAAGATGATATTTTGCTAGCATGCTAGCAGCATTGGTGTAAGGATAGCAATCCTTATCTTGAGTACTATGAGACAGATTGCTGTAAAACTTGCTACAAATATTCAAGTTACTTTGTGGATAAATTGTAAAAACTTTGGTGATCCATTGACTTTTCCTCCAGCGCTATCATCAGGTCAAAACTTTTTTGTCAAAACTCTGGGCTCCCTCAGAGAATGACCCTCGGCCCACTACTCTTTCTGTTGCCGAGTTGGCAAAAGTACGCACACTCTTTATTTAAGTAGAAGTATAGATACTTTAGTGAAAGTAGAAATACTGATTATTTACTCAAGTACAAGTAAAAAAAGTACTTTGTTGTTTTCTCTGAAGGACAATTTTCCCTTTCTCGTCTGTTTTCGTCATGTTACGTCTGTTATGAGCGATATGCGCCAGCCTTGGTGTTTGGAGGTTGTGCAATGATGCTAAAATAAAGTAATAAATGCATAATTCAACTAAAATGTATTAACAGTAAAGTAACAAGCCTGTTTTGAAAATGTAAGGAGCAGAAAGGACAGATATTTGGGTAAAAAGTACAGTAACAATGTACTCTGCTCTCTTGTATATTAAAAACCTCCCTTCTTTATTTAAATACTTTGTGTTCCTCTTTCAGACTGACTGAGTGAAATCATGAATATATTAACACATCTAATTATGTTCTTTCATACTAAACATTACAGGAACAAGAAAAAGAGGCTGAATGAGGATAGAGTGACGTTTCACTTCTCTCTGTTTCCTCATTAAATCATATCTTATATCTAGAATAATGAAGTAAAACATATTTACACTTAATGTCTTTCTGTGTTACATTTCCCCACGGGGATTATTAAAGTATTTCTGATTCTGATTCTGATTCTGATTTTGTTCTCAGAAGACGAGGAAGTGAAAATTACGTTATCACAACAATGTGACTAAACTGCTTTTACTAGTAGTGCTACTGCTACTAGAACACAATTAGGTACACTGTACTGGTCTGATGCCATATATAATATTACTAATAACTGCCACTTATACTACTACTATTACTTCTTGTTGTACTAATTGTACTATTATTACTACTTAAGTTGTTTAAATCTCTTAATCTGATCCCAACCATCTTCATCATCTTACCTCTGAGTCTGTGTCTGCATTTGGGTCCAACTTTGCAAAACATAATGCTACAACACATTATGTAAAAAACTGCATTGTGTAATAAACAGCATGAATGCAATGTGTAATAGTGTTTTGTATTACATTTTGTGGTTATTACAAAACACAAGAGATGCACTTTTTTATAGTGAAAACAATATAATATGATGTATTATGTCATATCCAACCAATATGGATGTCTTCATCTGTACATCTGTAGTTATAGATAATTACAAGGAATG